ACAACGTCATAATATGTCCCACACAAAATAAAAAAAAGACAAAATTATGTATAATACTAAAACTATAATTTTTTTTTCTTACGAACTGCTCCACAATTCACAATTAGGTACTGTTATTGTTGAAAATAATGTTGATGCCTTATGGAGTTCGTCGGTCAGTTACTTCTTGTATAAATAAATATAAACATGTTATACAGGGTGTAAAAGTTTAACAAACCACTGAAAGTAGAGGACCAATTGTTGAGTAAGTTACCGAAGTCTCACAGCGGGGACAGTTTCCCTTCGATGCTGTCCAGCCGAGACACCGGTACAGCATAGTGTGTGGTCTAGGGACATGTGTATTCCTCTTCTAATTTTAATAAAAGTCCCAAGTTCACTGCCAGTTGACGTTTATAGTGCCGCATGCCGCCCGAACCGGCCTACATGTTAATGATATTGGTTTTAATTAACCCGTTTGCTGGTTCTTATACAATTTTATTTGGTTTAAATTAAAAGTAAAAGAGTATTAAGCAATCAATTTGGATGCTAAGACTGTTTGTTTTAATAAAAAGTCATGTACTGTTTTATTCAATTTATTTCAAATATTTCGATTATACTTGTTTGAATAGTATTTGAAGCAATTAAAGAAATAAGAATTGCTAAAAAATCATCATTTTTCAATCTCATTTTTTACGTTATTATATGCTGATTGATTGAGTGACACAAAGATTTGCATACTGCTGAAATAGAGGTCGTTAAAAGCTAAATTGATCAGGCAAGTTTCGGAGAAAGTGTAATATTGGACAAATCAGCTTTTTTGTAGAGGGCAAATCAAAATAACTTCTTTAGCCCAGGGTAAGACTCTTACTGACTTAAAACCACCCCTGTTTTTTCTGCTCCAGGCTTAGGCAAGAGTATATTATTGCGCTTGAACCGCAACTCCCTCTCGCCCCACCTGCGGCAAGAGAAGACATTGATGATTTTCCCCCATTCAATTACTTTTACAGTTATAAAACGAGCATCCGGATCACCTTAAGGTTAGCGATCGGCTTCACACATTTTTTTTGTGAGGGGAAAATCATCATGTGATTTCTCCTGCCCAGGGTCGGGCGGGAGGGAGTGTCAGACTCTTACTGACTAAAACCCCCTGTTCCTTCTCCTGCTCTGGGCTGAGGTCGCGGTGCCTCATTGCGCTTACCCCGCAACCCCGGGGCTTCACCCATCGCAACATCGTGGAGTTCCAAGTGCGTTATCGCTATTTTGATATTAGGAATGATTGCTCTCCACTAGTACTACCTTACTCATACAGCAAAATTATGTTACACAAAGTATAACAAAACATTCTAGATTACATTTGACAAATTTTTATTAAGAATCATTGCAGATGAAGCGCTGATTCTTTTAAGTCTCTCTGCACTTATATTTTTGTCGACATACGGCACGGCTTATTTAGGAACAGTCAATCGATTAGTTATAGATAAAAACTTTTGTGACACCTACTTATACCTACAAAATACAAAAATATTTATTTAATTTTAAGAAAATGTTAAAACCTGAGTTAGTAGGTTCCACAATTCCTTAACAGAATATGTATAAACAGAATAACAAGAAGTATGTAAACATACGTTTTTTGTTTTAATAATTTTGGGGGTAAGTGCCAGTAGTTAGATTATTAACCATTTAACCGCCTTGCTTGCCAACCAAATGTACTTAATTATGACGATTTCTGGTCAACTATGCTCGACATTGGCGAAATAGTTTATTTTTAGTTTCTTAATGGCATTTGACGTCGATGAATGTTTAAAAACAATATTTAATTTAATATTTTTTTTAATGCTGGTGCCAATTTCATACATTATACTATTTTGATAGAATTATAATAACCTAATGCATAACGATGTTCCGTGCACAAAAGGAATGGGAAATTACGAAAAAACTTATATTTTTTCTTTTATTATTCTCTACAGAGGTTATAGATACCAGGGGTAGCTTTTGTAGAACTAAATTCAGTTATTAATTACACAAGAGTACGTACTAGAGAAAAGAAAATCGTGCACAGAGATATTAACAAAAAATATATACTTAGTTTTTTTTTATTCTCAGTTTTAAGGGTCAGTTTTATCGCTGAGCGATAACGTCACCCTGTAACATCAACAAGAATAGTTACTATATCACTAAAATAACAAAGGATATATAAATTACATATCTACTTCAATACACAAAATGCCAGTTCATATAGGTTGCTTGCCTCTTCTGAAAAAGGCGAAGCCAGGATAGAATTACACTCTCCAACGTTGAAATTATATGCAAATCCAAATAAGTAAAATATATTGTTATTTTGATTGGTATTGATCGTTGGACAATTCGGCAACACTCGTTAGTGTACCTGGTTGCAAAACTAACACATGCGTGCCAGTCGACAATCAGAGTGAATCCACTCAAGCTGGTGTGGTTCTTTCCTTCAGAGAAAAGTTAATTTTTGTTCTTTAGACTGACTACTACAGACTAAACTTTGTCTTTTCTTTCTCATAACTTTATATTTGTCTGGACTCTAAAAGAGGCCAGACAAATATACTTCTGAATTGGTTTCGGTGTTTTGTTTTCAGAGAATACGTTTTATACATTTTATATGTTTACTTAGTCGTTTCCAACTAGTCAAATTCAATACTTTTTTTCAAATTTCAAAAACGACACTTATCTATGAAATTTTTATGAAAAACTGAGTTATGACGTCATAGTAGTTTTGCGTCAAATAGCTTACTTATTTTTTAATAATAAGCTACAAAATATCTAAAACTTCGTGTATCGACCGATTGATGAATAAAAGAACCTATACCTAGTTATTTTTCAATATATTATTGTATTGTAACGTCGAATTAAATTATTTTTAACGTAGGAAACTACCCAATTCTCGGCGTGTAAAAGTGCTTAGTTAGTTACTATTTAATATTTTCAGTCCGTCACTACAAGCGTTCGTTTCCTAACTTGATATACGAACCGAGCCAAACGATAACTGAAATATTTGTATTCAAACGCGAATATACCTCCATATTGTCCAAAATACACAATGTGTTACGAAATTCACGAATTCAGAAATTGTATTACACCTATTATCATGCATTTGCGTACCTATGTGGAGTCGGCGGAAAATTACATTATTCGTAATTGCGCATGCAAATATGCAAATGGATATGAATGAATGCATGAATCCGACGATTAACAACAAATACTGTCAGAGTCCATTAAAATATAAAGGTTTTTTTATTATTTACAGAATCCATGAAAATATGAATAGGTATATATTTTTAACTAGCTATTTTCGCGCGGTTTCATTCACTGTTCGGCTCTTACAGATTGTAGCGTGTGGTTTTATAGCCTGTAGCCTTCTTCAATAAGTGGACTAACAAACACAAAAAGAATTGTTCTATACGAACCAGTGGTTTCGGAGATTAGCGCGTGCAATATAAACAATTTATCTCAAGATAAAATCTCCCCACCTTCCAAAGATAGACTCGTAGGAAACGGTGAAAGAGTTAAGTCCGCCATATTACATGGCGCGCAAAAAGTGAAAAAGAGACGTATTCCATTCTAGACCAAAATATTTTTAAAGCGATGTTTATATCACGTAGATCATTCACAGCGGGTGCAAGAACAATAATGTGTGCGCCTTTGAATAAAAGAAGACCACCTCACTTTATTGTCTCTCAAATCCACTAATTTGTAATAGTAAAAGATTCGAAAAAATGACACTCCATTTTTAGTTTCGTATCTCGAAAAAGGTTTTGGATGTTTAATCGTAAAGGTCTAAAGTCCTCCGTAGTTTTGACAAGTAATCTTTCCGGGACTAGCACTTTTATTTGGCCGTTTGTTAACGACAAATAAATCAGTTGCTGTACAATATGTCGCGGGTCCTACTTCCGCACTGAACAATACTGTGAAGAATCAAAAAATTGTTGTTTCAAATTTACACTCCTAATTGTAAACTTACAACTATGGCACGACATGGCAGGAAATCGTAAAGCAGAATAACTCCTTAAAAATACGATTGGTATGTCAATTTCTTAGCTTAGTGGATATTTATTATACCTGAATTTCGAAGCGGCCTGTATCGTCGTGGCTGCGGCAACTCTCTCATCTTATAATTTGAGTCATTTTACAATTTTATTTGTTGTTGAGCGCCGAAATGATTTCGCCATAAAATTGAAATTGATAGATATTTCTACAAATTTGTTTATTAAAGAGAGGCGTAAATATCTAAACTGTGTAGTTAAGATCGTTTAGCCGGATCGATAGTTAATTCTTTTACAATATACACTGCCTACGTCCAATTAACCTTCGATGTATTAGAAATATACGCAGTCATCATTATCCGAGTGTTTCGTGAAGAGGAATACGCGACCGAGTGAGGTGGTGACGTACGAGTGGCGCTGGCGCTGGACTGCGCGTACTCCCGCACGTGGCCGGGCTGCCATTGGCATGCATGAAGGAATGCGCGCAGGGTAGGCGGGCGACCTGTGACCTGCCCGCCGTGTGCGGCGCGGGCGCACGATGACGCACCACCACGCATGCGCCCCCTCACCGTCATCATCTATACATCTAGATATTATCGACATGGAATCGATAGCGATATCTCGTCTATTCTTAGTAGCATGAAAGAAATAAAAAGTGACAAAAAACATTGGGATCGTTAAACAATTAAACAAAGCTCAGTCAGTCCCTGTCAGTCTCCGAAACGGCTATCAAGTAATATACTCATAACTTACACTCGGAAAGGGTAACAGGTGCGTGAGAACCTATTCTCATAAGTCAAAATAAAAAAGGGGCCAATGTCCCTAAGAGTGGTTTTATTGAAAATCCGTCAGACGAGTGTGGGACAACAAAGCGGCGACGGAGAATGTTGCCAGCGATGAAAAAATACGGCGATCGGGTCGTGACTTGCAACACTGTGGTTTTCATTTGTCATTTATTTTGATTGTGATAACTGGGTGCGACGTGGATCCATATATTTTATTCAGGACGTCATGGCCGCCGCAGTGACGGAGTACGGCGGCGGCGGCGTGCGTTTGTTGTCAACTATAGCTCTCATCATGCGCTTGAAGTTGGGGTGGTCTTCGGTGACCCATCAACCACAAGCCAGCTAAGAATGTGGCTTTCAAATTATTACCTATTCATCAACACGAAAAATAATCGATCGCTGTTAGCCTCCTGACTATAATAATACTTGTTGTATTTTGCAGAACTAAAGACTTGTTAACCGTTTCGTGATTGTTCAGAGTATAGTGAAGGTACAACTATAGGGCGACTAAAGTATACTAGTATTCTAAATTAGAGTCATTTAGCAATGCGTATTGCTAAATTACTAAAGCCCTGTTCTATGTGAACCCACATAATATACAGACACCATGCCCCTCTGTCGTACCTGAACGAGTCTCGTTAAAACTATATCTAATTTGGTCAGTCGGTACTCACTTTAAAGTACAGAACAAAGTCGGTATCTTGTCTGCCGCTGTATCCCTATGTATTCCTAAATATTTAAAACTACACATGGGATTTTTTTGAGATAGAAAGATTAAGGAGAAAGTTTTCTACGTATAATAGCATCTATTAAATAGTGGAGTAATTTTGTCTCAGCATGTATCCTTGCGAAGTCGGGGCGGGTCGCTAGTTTCTTAATAAACGTAATTCCTGTTAGCTTTGAATGAATGTCATCAAACTAACGTGTTCGACATTAATTTATTTATAAAAAGCAAAGTATGTAAAATACTTCCAAATTTGATGGTAAAGTAAAGTTGAAATGACCGTGCTAGGATCTTTTTTGTATGCTTATATAAGCTAGTAAGCACTGGTGTAATAAGTATGTGGTATAATACTCACCAGGAAGTATTTGCAAAATCTTTATTTCCTTCTTCACCTGCCTTTATCTCAAAACGCAAAATTTCTTCTTCCACTTATTCAAACGTCATTGCCACATCACTAACCCCCGTCGATGATGGATGATCAAGTTTCTTCTTGATAGGGTAGAACCGGGTAATACCGGTCAGGAGGTATTACCGGTCAATCTAAAATCTCAAAAACTACTGTGTTTCGGCGCAAGTACACATACACAGCGAGTGGCGTGATGTCGCCGAGCGACAACGCCCCGGTTCCCGCTTAATTCCGCAGCCGACTTCTTGGGTGAATTCACGTCGTTTGTCCTCGCGCCTAGTTGATGTAAATTTTCGGGATAAAACGATAACAGGTGAGTGTTTATAATTTCACGTTTTTTACACTGTTACCTAGGATTGTTGCACCATAATTACTTAGCATTCTGAGTGATAATCGTTTTTTAACTTATTTGGTCAGGTTTAATATCTAGAAGGTTTTTTATGAAGATGTTGCGAGTCGGGCAATGCCGGTCATGCTGACCGGTATTAACCACAAGTAAAATTGGTAAACACGGGTATAATTTATTTTACTATTAATGTTTTTTTATTATTTTAGGATGGCTAAAAGAAGAAGCCAATCCAATTCAAAGGCGTCGTGGAGCCAAGAGCAACTAAACAGGGACAAATAATGAAACAACTACATTATGACAACCCCGTTCCTTCTATTTCCAGCATTGGTTAACCTGTCACTGTTAAGGATCTTTTGCCACTACGAAATAAGTCGAGGGACAAGAAAAAAACATACGATCTCGCAAACAGTATTAACAGAAACTCCTAACAAAGAAGCTTTAGTCGAGAAAGAAAACAGAAAAATTACAAAGGAGAAGAAAAAGCCAATTCTTAAAATAAAAACCGAAAAAACGACTTATAATAGAAAAGGAAAATCAATGGAAGTGAAAAAAAGCTAAAAAGATAGTGCTAAAGTGCTCCAAGATATAAACAAATGAAATGAGAGGACGTCGGACTCAGAAGTAGAAATGACAGACCTGCATAAAGACGAAGACACCGATGCTGACGAAGATTATGAAAACAAATGTTTAATTTGCGATGATTATGGACGTGATAACGAGCTCTGCTATAGATGTGTGCTGTGTGGTGTCTGGGCACACTCTGAGTGCTCTGGTTATGACTCTCCTGAGGGTTACATTTGCGACTCATGCCTGAACAAAGCTTGACCGGCATTAGCAACCTACTGACTGGTTTTACCTGCCGATGTGTCTAATACCAGTCAAACTCGATTTTTTTTTAAATGCTTATTGTGCTAAATTTGTTTAAATTATTGATCTGAATTAATGTGATTTTGATAGAAGAATACCTATAGTTTGATTGTTAAAAGGTTTAATAAAAAAATGTTTATAATTATTTGATTTGTGATCATTTTGCCTTAAGTGACCGGTAATACCCATTCTTACCCTAATGTTGACTACGGGACGGTAAACAAGCAGATATATCCTATGGTAGCCAATCGGCGTCGCCCATGGATAGAGTTTGTATTTAAGTTCTACGTATACAGGAATTGCTAGTGCAATACTACGACCTTTCGGGGATAAGGATATACTCGTATGTACTATCTTTAACCGTTGTAATAAAGTTGGTGTAAATCTCTACCACCTAGTTAGCAATAATATATCTCAAACCGCCAATTTAAGATTCCCATTAGCCTGCAGCCGAACGAATAATGTTGCAAAAGTAAAAAAGACGATATATATATTCGGGTGCTCGTTAAGTTGTGAGCCGTGTCACAGTTTAAATAATATTTGTGTGTTGTGGCGCGCATAACGAGCGCTGCTGCCAACGTAAATCTGTGTTGTCGGGCGCCGCCGCCGCCGGCCACTGCGGTGATTGCTTTCCTTGATGTATCATCTGTTTATTGTTTATTTAGCGCGTCTTTTTGTCTGGTAGCGACTGCGCGGCCGCTGGCCACTATCTGCCCACTCGCGCCTCCATTCCGCGACACGGCTACGGCCTGCCCTTCTACAAGTAGAGCCGGTATATGTGTTGCTTTTGTTGTTAATATTATTTGCACTAGGAAGATTATTACTTAGGCATGAATTTACATTCTTAATTATTAAAACCTAATTAATTGTCTTTTCTTTAGATGTTACGATCTGTCGAATCGGGATTAAGTATTTACAACGCACATATCGGAATTAACCAGAGATAAAGCTGCGTTGAAATAAACAGAAGCTTACAAATGTCACCGTAGTATTGGGCACACATAATGATCTCAATTTCATATCCGCAAGTCACATGTCAGGAGCGGGTACGCGGCGCGGCTGCGCGAGCGCACGCGATGTCCCGCCCACGCCTCGCCCGCCGCAAATGCGCGCGCCGTGTCTTATGTAAATGCACCATGTCCACTCTTGGCTTTAATTAATCTCTAGCCGCATAAATAAGTCCTACTTTAGATCGATCCATTGAGAATAAACAATGGCAACCTGATGCAGTCTAGCCTTATCATAACTTGAAATAGCGAGACTCGAACTCGGCTCGGTAACGCGCCTGCCGGCTGATTCAATGTTCTGAACATGATGCTATTTTAAAACAACCAATGGGGTTAAGCGTTTTGGATTCATTTAGAATTGTTGTAAAACATACCTACAAATAATTCAAAACAAATAAACTTGGGAGCCACGTATCGTGAGAACAATTTATTTGAGCGAAAGCCAAGCAAGCAGGCAAGGCTTGTTGTACAGCCATTATACTCTTCAAGCACCAGAAATTAGTCAGTTTCTAAACGTATTGCAAAAACTTAAACGTATAACCTTAAACGTACACTGATGTGAACAGACCTTAATGTAGAGAGTAATCTGCGCTGTTACTCGATTTACAATTATTATTCTCTCTCCCTTGTTCCCAATTTACATGAAACTAACGCTACAACAATATTGTTTTCGAATTTTCAAACAAATTTAAACACTATTATATATCTCGTACCTAGTCGACGTTACTTATTAGAAACAGGTATGTATTTGTACAAACATAAATATATTAAAGGTAATACAATAATATAGAAGTAATAGGTAACAAGCGCCTACGCGGTCCGGGTGACGGTGCTCGTCATTCGACCGAGCTGTTGATCACAATTTATGTGTCATTAACTCTTATAAAAGCAAAGTAATTAAAAAAGTTATAGTAACAAATCAGTGGTCCAGTGTTCGTGAAGGTTATATTATTGTGGCGCATTGTGTCGGCGCGCGGCCATCGCTCAGTGTCGCCCGCGGCACCTCGCTTGTAACACTGACTCCAAATTGTTAAAACAAACTGTAGAATAACGCTGCACTATATCTCGCTCCGTACAACACCATCTAAAACAAATAACTTAAATCATACATCGGACAGAGGAGGACGGAGAGACGCTACGCGATTCTGAATGGATATTAAAATGTGATGGCAGGCAAGGGAGAGGCGCGCGCGCGGAAAGCAATCAACGAGCGACGATTTATGAGAGTGCCGCGGGCGGACCGCGTTGCGCCCGCGCACGGCACGCACCCGATTTTGTCAAACGCCCTCGGGATACACGGATTTGGTCATCCGTTTAATAAACAGAAATACCGAATGGTTCTCAGTGTATATAGATAGCGTCGAGCAAGCAAGATTTAGACCTCCACCGACCCTCCATAGGCCCCATGAATAGGGAACACTCTTATCTGGCTCCGGTACGCGACATCTTCATTATCGCCGAGTGTTAAAACTTGTTAATCTGTCACTTAGTTAATTATTATGCGAGGACCGCAGTTAATTGATTCAGCCGACGACAAAATGTTAATAAGTGGTGATAGCGCTCGTGAAACGGTGCTTCTGTCCGAAGACGCTACGTTTTGAAATGCAAATCGTGCTTTTGGAATATTGGTGTGGATAGCGCCGATAAGAGACGGGACTGACTGAATTAATATACGTGTAACACGCGATTTTGCACTTTGTGTACAGCTCTGTTATCGATAGTGTAGCGGTGTGCGCGTGTGTAAGTGCCTCCATTAATGCAATTCATATATCTTTATAAATGATAAAGACACATCAAGCCATCTGTTATTATATAACATTGTCAGCGCAACAATTTAAGTCGAACCGATGTAATTAAGTTTCGCATAGGCCAGGTAATTTTGTAGATGTTAAAATTTTAATACACCATCACAACTCGTACTAGCTGACTAAATTGTTCTCAGTTTTTTCTTTCGATCCCATTTCATTCATTTGAGTGAAAAACATTGAGTCAGTTTTAACTGGACACCATACGTAGCATTATGTGTTATAGGCATCACGTTGATAGAATTCATTTTGTCTCAATATTTGATTCGAGATTTTATTTTAAGTGGAACGTCTTAAGTTCAAATATATTTTTGCGGCAGGAGATAAATAAATAATATCATTTTAGATCAGTTTCTAGATCAATGTTAATGGGATAGCTATCTACTTCAGTAAGCACTGTCAGTCAGCCAGCAAGCGTGCTTAGTAATGGGATACCGTTAGGAATAAACGATTAAAATGAGTGCAGTTATTGTGACATACATCAAGAATAATCAGAATAATGAATTGTCGGGGAGCGGGCAGGAGCCGGGCAAAACGGCAGTGGCGGCGCGCCACCAGATTTGGCAGTATAAAAAACAAACAAGACCTTTTTAATGTTCGCGTTAAGTGATATGATAGCGTGTTAATGGTGTGTTGCATGCGTTTATTTAATTAATTAAATATGAAGGGCTCGCGAATGTTAATGAGGGGTCCGGGAGCCGCGCAGTTGTCGCTCACCATTCGCGCTGATAACGAGCGCCGACTTTCATAAACAAAATAATGTTTTGTTTGTTTTGTTATGCGAGGACACAATTTTATTAAACTCATTACACCACATTAATGGCAGCCTTTACTTGTGTAAAGTGGGCCATTGATTGTGTACCCATTATTTCCATATTTCATTTAAGATTACCTTTAGTCACAGCCTCTAACAACATTTAACTCTTTCGCGATATTTTCTATGTTCTTCTTTGACTAGGCCCAGGTTGATTCGTCGTAACCAGACTAAGGTTTTAACTTTTACGTGAAGTTTGGGTGTTAAGTGAATACTGCCGTAACGTATCGCCAGCTTTGTGTTTCGACAAATGATTGTGGTTACGGGTGGCATAACCCCATTTCTCCTGAAGTCTCAATTTCTTAACCCTCCTAAGGCCGGCTACTCATTCGTAACATGTCCATTAGCGGTGACGATCGTTTACCATCAGGTGATATGTTTGCACGTTTCATATCCTTTAATAAATATATCCTTTAAAAGAAACTGTTGTCTGCTATAGACGTTAAAGATTTTTAGGGCTTCTTTGGACATCAACAACCGTCACATCAACCTAATAAGTTTCCTTGAAAATGAGAGGTTTTAGAGGGCGGTTGAAACTTAAAGGAAAATGAAATAGACAGCTTTTGAAATGTGATGTTAGCCTTGGTTAACATAGCCCACCTTCCTCTTATGAATGGATCATTCATTATAACATTGTTTCTATCTTTCCCATACCTAGTACCTATGTACCTTATATTATTTGGAAAAAAATGATCCAGTTTTTTAAAAGATTAATTTGTAAGAGCGTTTATGCTGCGGGTTCCCTTATACAGCTTCTCAATGAAGCTTGATATTCCTTCGCATATATCAAGACAATTAAAGCTAATTACGAACATCTAAATTCTATATGCACCTCTAGCGTTGATGAGCCGCGGTTTTCTTGCAATTGATTAACTGACATGAATGCTAGGTTAGAGTAGAAATCAGTTAGAAATAGACTTCATTTCTAAGATAATATTAAATTACTGTACCTTTTAGAAATGCGCTAGTTGAGCGACTACCTTTCAAAAATATTAGATAGGTTTCAGTAATAAAGTAGTAGCCACTTATATTTATTATTAAAGATTAAGACTTTTAGTGTAATTGATAAATAAATGTCAGTTAGAAATAAAGCAAGGTGGTGTGCACCTTGCGCCTTCCTCCGCGACAGCGCTTTAATGTCAGTCCGCTCGTAAAACATATCGACAATATTACTATATGGAACAACTATGGCAGTACAAACTATAATGACCCATAAACTGCATCCAACATAAATAAAGTGCTCACTGGCTCCCTCTAGCTATTGGCTGGGTCTGGGTAAAACAGTGTACCTTGTAGAAATTAATTGAAAACTGTTAAATTATATCTTGTGTAATTAGGTATAGATACTAATCCACGTAGAAGGCGCAGGCTCAGGACGGGCGACGGGCGTGGCCGCTTTGCGAGAAAACAACATTCGCTCCGCGAACTCTTTTTGTTATGATCAATGTGTGCTTTGCGCAATTATAATGGCGGTGATGCTTCAATGACACCGACAAGGTCTCGCCGACGCCGACTGGTATCATTGACTCGCCATCGAAACAAACCGTTTACAATAATTACATGCATGATCTACGATTGCTAACATTTACACATGAATGGTATATTTCGCGGTTTTGGGTAAAAACCATCAATTGTTTGCAATAGTAAAACACAAATTTCATACTTATTAATGTACTTAGTGTACACACATCGACGCTAGTAGTGTGACCTACTGTGCAACTTCAATTTATGTTATTAATTATTAACGATATGATAAATATGTAACTGCATTTCTATGTTTTACCTTAATTAGCAGGGTAATTGAGACCTTATTAAGACCTTTGTAACTATTCCATATTTAAATATTATCACTTATTTTTGTAGTATGCGTAATCGTATTAAAATATCTTTAATCCTATTGCAAGTATAGAGAAAAAACAATAGATGTTGAAAATCTATGGATCCTTGCTGTAGGTCGCCCATGTTCGCTTGTAATTGGCTGGTGGAAGGTTAGTATGTGTTTGTATGTATGTAAGTCCAGTCGCGGCGAGCTCGCGATGATGTTGTGTAGGTTCGTAAGACCAGTCCGGCAGCATGACGTATGTGTTTGCGCAGGAGTTTCGGCGCGAAGTGCTCCAAGTGCTGCCGCGGCATCTCGTCGTCAGACTGGGTGCGAAAGGCACGCGAGCAAGTCTACCACCTCGCCTGCTTCGCGTGCGACGCCTGCGGCCGCCAGCTCTCCACCGGCGAGCAGTTCGCGCTGCACGAAGACAGAGTACTCTGCAAGCCTCACTACCTGGAGACACTCGACGGAGGGTCCATTTCTTCTGATGGTGAGATTTCAAACTCTTGAGTATTAGCTGAAGCATATTGAACTACATAAATCACCATTATCAAAAAAAATAAGTGATGCATCGAGCCTGACAAAAACCTTTGTTTGTATCCCGAATCTTTCGCAATCATTTTTTGGTTGTCGTTGTATTTTCACTAGATCCATTACTATAAAGTTGTCCTGCTTCTAGTTTCGAAATTAACATTCATCATTTCAAACCAACTGTCAAATAAATTTCATACCTTGGTGTTCTTGAACAAGGAGTGGTCAAGGGTTCGATTTGGAAAAAAGTATTATGAAGCTCTCAGGCAAGATGGAGCCTGCGTTTGTACCCTGTATGGCTATAGGCTTGTCATGGAACTTACAAATTGACGACGAGCATTTCATGCATAAACTTATCTCAACAAAGCCTTCACATAGACAAAGAAAAATCTTCCCTAAATAATTATAGGTCTAATTATTTTATGTTTAATAGTCAAAATTAATTTTTGTAAAGTATGTTACTAACATAACAATGACGTGATCTTCAGATGGCTGCGACTCGGAGGGCTACCACAAGAGCAAGGCGAAACGCGTGCGCACAACCTTCACTGAGGAGCAGCTGCAGGTGCTGCAGGCGAACTTCCAGCTCGACTCCAACCCCGACGGTCAGGACTTGGAGCGGATCGCGCAAGTGACGGGGCTCAGCAAGCGGGTCACGCAGGTCTGGTTCCAGAACAGTCGCGCCAGGCAGAAGAAGCACCAGCACACTGGCAAGGGCAAACAGAGTCAATGTTAGTATCTTCTGCGCAAGTACCTCTAGTAAGAGTCATTGCTTCTACTTTGATCATAGTTGAGCTTTACTATGTTCATAGTTGAAGCAAGTGTCACCTGCATGTCCCACGACACCTCCACCATGGCGAATGATGTTGCTAGCGCCGCGACTATGTGCTCTGCGAATAGTTTTTAAGTTCGTCATGTGTTTACGTGTGTTATGTGTTATGCAGTGGTGTCCCGTGACGCAGACCCGGCGGGGTTTGGCCGCCCCATCAACTTGCACCTCACCTACTCGTTCCAGAACAAACCACCTTTTGTACCGATAGGTAAGAATCTGCTCTTTGTTCATTTCAGCGTAATGTGTGTGGTCGGTATACAGTTTATGGGTTAAATGAGTGTCTAGAGTCTCGGGTTGGTGTCTGTCGATCAGTGGCGTGAAATGCCAAGGAGCCTCTTTTTCGCCCCTGTTTAATGAGACCGACGGATATTCCTACTGCACGTTAAGAATTATCAGATAAGCATAGTACAAGTGCAATAATGCCACGGCATCAGCTCGGAGCAGTATAACAAATAGGGTCCTTTAAGTCACTAAAAGTCTGTCACTCCCTTACGCCCCATCTAAAGCATCAAGCCCTCCTAGGGCATAATTATATTAATTATATTTGCCCGTCAAAAGAAAAAAGTAAAACCTGTGAAAGAACCAATCCCAGTGTCTTGTTCTTATACTGCCCTAAAACACAAACGAACATCAAATAAGTAAGATAAAAAAAAAAACTTAAGATCTATGACAAAGCAGCTAATATTTGAACACACGAATGGGGCTTACTTTATAGGTACAAAACAGTTTTTATGAACAACAAATTACATAAGATTACAACATAAACTAATTGATTTAACTAAGTAACTTCCATAGGTCTGTAGCGACCCTGAGTATTTAAACGTAGTTGTACTTCAAGCCTTGAGCTGATAATGAATTTGATAATGAGAGATATAATAAACATTTACAGATGGAACGTCTTTCACGGATTCTTCAATGGATGAGCTGTCGGAGGACTCGTCAATCCACTGCATGCAAAGTGAGGTGTGAGCTGCTGAACTATTGCTGACCAGCCGCTGAGCATTCGCCTGCTGAGCTTCAGTGTACCAGTGTGCACTCGGCGTCACTCTCCGTGTCCTTCGAAACTGTTTACAAACACTCCTATAGCTGCCCCGGGGTCTAAAGTACTACAAACATACGATTGTAAAGTCTCAGTTCTGCCTATACATATATGTATAACATACAACACATGGTCCGGTTGTATAACTAGGTACAAATCAATCGCGATATCAATATTCTTATGACAAAGATATAATTCTATCTCATACTTGCAATAACTATATATAGCAGCACGCTTTATACATACATGACACAGCCAATTAGCTTTGTAAGCTTTTCTATTGATTATGAGATTGCTAAGTTTCTCGAGAAAAATATATGTCGCGAAAATTGAGAAAAATAAACCTTATATGCTGGCAGAATGGGTAGGAACCGGCACAGAAAACAAAATGTCATCAGGAATAGATAGCTACCGGATTTGTATTGCGATACCATTAATTAAACAGGCTAGGCCGATTTTTGAATGGCTTATGAAGCTGATTGGCTGCGACATACATATTCTAAAATACTTACCTAAACATAATTTATACAATCTAAATGTGGACGTTTGATATTTATTGTAAAAAGTTGTATTTATTTATTTATTTCCAGTAACTGTGATACGTTCTCTATCGTAACTGTTTTCGATTAGTTTACAATATTATACATTTCATAATATTATACTTAAATCCAACTGATGTAAGATTATCTATTTTATAAATCTTTAGAGTACTATAGTTTAGTGCCAAATCGTAGTAATAAGAGGTAGCCACGTGAAGAAAAAGCAATAGTAGTTGAGAGAGTACTCGTAGAATATATTCCTAACTAATTACATTCCTGTGCGATCAGAGTATAGTCTGTAGGCGTAAGTGTAAGAGAGAGACGCAGCGCGACCGTCTCCCCGCGTGACCAGCGCCAGCTGCTCTGCCGCGCGCTGCCGCTGAAGTCGGTCATGAACGTGCCGATTTCCCGTGATATTTACAAAAGCAATTTCAACTACATATCAACATAAGATTTTATTATTCGGACACCAGTTTAAGCCGAGTAGAGAGTCAATTTAGAGGTATTAGAGCCAGAGCATTCTGCCGCTATAGTGTCGGTGTGACACGATGCCGCTGTCTTCGTACAAGTAGTTACTGCTAGACTGTCGACACTAAGTTAATACGCACACCATCAATGTGATCTTGTCAACCATTTCTCACTTCAAAATATGTAAGTAGGCCGATACGAAATGTTTTAATATTCACGTTGTACTACTGTATACAGCTCACCGCAATAATTTATTGTCATTCATTCTTTATATTATGTACTTAACTAGACACATAGGACACATCTGCCGAGTGCGCGACTATCAATAAATATAACACTCGAACCGCAATGTTTTGCAATCGCAACTCCTCAACGTTTTCATTGGACATAAAATATATTTAGCCATCTATGGAATTGAACCGTCTTCAAGCTACAAAGCATGAGATTTGTTATGTACTTAATCTTATCAATCTTTACACTTTAAAACTAACTCAGTAGGATATTTCAGTAATTCTAGTTGTAATAGTTACAGGCACTATAGCCTATCGATAACACTGGCGTTCGGCGTCGTCGGAGGATACGATTACATTCAGTTCAGTATTGTAAATAGACGATTTGTGTAAGTAAAGTACTTCATTAAAATTGTAAATAAGATGAGGGCGCAGTGGGGCGGCGAGTAGCTTGCGCATGCGCCGCCCCGTGCGCGCCCTCTATAGGATATTTATTAATTTATGATTGTAGATGTAAGTGACATAACGTAGCGCGTCATCTTGTCATTTTATCTTAATTAATTAGTTGCTACAAGTACTAGGTACTTAAGTTTATTCTGTACAAATTTTTAAATATATTGTTGGTTAATTGTGATTGTTGTTTATTATTTAACCCTTAAATAACTTGTACTCAAATCTCTGTAGGTGTGTTTGAACCAAAGTGCCTGGCATAAAGGAGGAGGCAGGACTAGTTCTAGTAACTTGAATTTAATGTTTAATAAGGTGTGACTTGGTTTCTAAGTGTTTACTTTAGTTGAGGCTGAAGCAAACACTCCTTCCATGAAGGAGGAGAAGGAACGGGATGGTTATTAGCCAGTAAGAGTCTGTCACGCTGTCTCATCCCACCCAGGGCGAGAGTAATCAATTGATGAGTTCCCCGCTCAAAGGAGAAAGTTTTTATTACAGGAAGCTTAGTTTATTAATTTATTTAAACCTGACACAATTGGCACATAGGCTGGCTTAATGCCTAAGGCATTACTTACTACAGTGCGGCTGACGTATCTTGGCGAGTCTGAAGTTAGCCGTTTGTCTGCGCAATGGATCTTTGAGGAACAAAATTGTGTACTGCGCTAATCGGCTAACTTCAGACTCGCCAAGATACGTCGGCCGCACTGTACTATTTAGGAAAGAGGAGGAGGAGGAGGAAGAGCTTATAAATAAAATATGAAAGTCATTAACAATATTTTTTATTAATAAACATTTTATAATCTTAAATCAAACTTAAAATACAATAAACTTAAGATAACTTAACAGAAATCAGTTATTTACAATACCTTTTAAAAACAAATAGAATATTGTTTCAACAATGCAATGCCGCAACATTTCATGTACATATTGTATGTAATCGCACACAACACTTATGTATATCAACAAGTACTTATAACTTATAATACCTATATAAAATTATAGAGAATATACTTATTCTATAATTTAGGCCGTATCATGCAATTTTATATAACAGTTCGAATAGTCAACAGTCGTTTGAAAGTTATCAAGCATCGCGACTGTAAGATAGTTTAGGTAGAATTAATGGTCTTGTGTTATGTCTGTCCTGCCAGACCACAACACGATGTGCAAGTAACCACTAGCTCCACGTCTCCGGCTTTATAGCTTGTCCATAGCGTTGAGGAGCAGGTTCATCTCCTGGTGCACCTCCCGTAGCAGGTCCTTCATCTGTCGCGGCGAGTCCAAGATGTCAACGCTCTGCGTGTACGGGTTGTATCGAACGCCGAAGTCACGGGGAATCTTTTGAGCGAATTTTCTGTAATTTATACAACACACACAAATTAGTACAATTTTACGCTTATAAAATATCTTGCCAAACTCTCAGTCAATCTAAAGACTGCACAGTTGACGCTGTGGCTGGGCAACCAGCTGCTGAGCAACGTGTCGCGGGTTCGATTCCCGCACGGAACAACACTTTGTGCTATCCATGAACTGTTGTTTTGAGTCTAGGTATCATGTCTATGTAAAATTGTATGTATGTAAATGCATTCACAGCACAGGAAATAGTGGGTCAACATTTATTAAGAAAAAAATGTGCAAGTAGAATGTGTAGTACATCATAGACAAGGACTCACATCATTTTCTCCTTAGCATCCTCGAAGCTGTTCGCGACGAAGTAGACGGGCTGGTACTCTGTAATAGGATACTTGGTGGCGCCAGTGGTGTCTGGGTCGAACTCCCGGAGTTCTGGCTTGTCGGAGAGGCAGTATTGTAGCTCTCCGAATGAAGATAACAAGCCAGCACCGAAAGCCTTCAGCTTACCCTCTTGCCGGCACAGACCGAACTCCACCGTGAACCAAAAGCACTGCAACAAACATCATGGTGATAAAGCTTAGCTTAAACATTCCATTTGAATGTATATTTATTGCATTGGTTCCCATTCGATGTCACTATGCCCAAAGCTACTTACGGTGGCAAGTTTCTCAATATAATCATCAGGCGCTCCAAGCGAAGCGAGACCAATCTCCTGTGAGAACTGTGCGAAGGCCGGGTCTGCGAATAGGGGAGCGTGGCCCAGCAGCTCGTGGCACACGTCGGGCTCCGGAGTGTAGAGGGGGCGCGAGTGGTGTCTGATGTACTGCGTGCTGTGGAACACGCGGAACGCCAGCCCCGCCAAGAAGTCACGCGAAGAGAGAAGTCCGGCCACCGGCCTCAGGGTAAAGCCTGTGCAGTCTGTTGAAAATAGTTTTGTTACATAAGATGTACCGCCTAAAGCGTTTAGAAATACTAGCTGTCTTGGCAAACTCCGTATCGCCCATACCATAACTTCTGTCCATTTAAACCTTCCCTGGACTTCCACAAATATTTCAAAACTAAAATAAGGTTTTTTAATTCGGTCCTGCCGTATCAGTTTTTCATTTTTAGAAGAAGAAGATAGATTTATTTATTAGTTGTATGTTACACTTATTCAATCGGCATACCTTTGAGGAAGTTAGACACGTCCTCCAGTTGCGGGATGTTATCCTCCCTGTAACCGCAGTTCTCAATGAGCAGCGGGAAGACGTGGTTGTGCTCCTTGCAAGCGTGCGTGGGGTACAGTTCTGTGAGCTTCCTGAACACAGCGCCCCAGGTGGCGATCTCCTGCTCCGTGTAGTCGACGTGTGGCAGCGGCTGCCCGTGCTTGTAGTTGTACGCAATGTCCGCGAAATATTTGCGCCGAGCTCTGTACTCCGGGTCGGTGAAGCCAGGGTGGTCGGAGTCTAACTCCGCACCGTAAGATAGGATCTGGTTGGCGAATCTGTCCAAGTCACGGATACGACGGGGAAACCACGGCACCGCATCTGTAACGTGGTAAATAGTAAATATTTTGAACCATGTTTTGGATATTTCTGTTTTTATTTCACCAAATCATAATGTAACCAAATAAACTTTTAATAATAAAAATGTGAGTGATTTTTATCGCTTGATTTCCAAAACACTATCTACTTCATAATATTCAACTTACATCTGTTGTCCTTGTAATTTCTAGAGATTATGTTCAAGTAGCCGACGTTATTCTTGAGCTCATCGAGAGCTGCACCGAAGTCTCCAGCCCCGTGCTCGCATTCCACCATGAACTCATACCCTGGCCGCCTCGCGGACGAGCGCGATTCAATGTGCATCAGGTTGACTCCATGCGAAGAGAATACACTGAGGAACTTGGCGAGT